GGCTGTCCAGGCTTGGCCGCTGCCCATCCAGAACACTTAGTGCTCCTCTCTGGCAGACACCAGGCAATGCAGAATGCACTGCCCCGCAACCTGAACTCTACCCCCTGGCCCTGGTAAGAGCCACCACTGATTGCCTCTATGTTTCAGACACGGCTGCCCTGTTGTAAGCACTGACTAAATAAACAGGTCATTTTATGGGGTGTATCCCCCCAAATTGCATCTTCTCTGACATCTATATGTTCCCCAACTGCCCTTCACAGTATGAGGGCTATCTGTACCGACTGATGCAGGGATTAGAGGGCAGAAGTAGCGCAGGTGATGTTCCACAGGGGAATCATTAAGGTTGGTAACAGCTGGCAGCAGTTTATGCAGAGTGGATGAAGTGATCAAGGATAGGCTAGACCAGGGCTAGGCAACCTATGGCACGCGTGCCGAAGGTGGCACACGAGCCGATTTTCAGTGGCACTCACACGCCCAGGTCCTGCCCACCGGTCCGGGAGCTCTGCATTTTAATTGAATTTTAAGTGAAGCTTCTTAAACGTTTTAAAAACCTTATTTACTTTCCATACAATAATTGTTTAATTATATATTATAGACTTGTAGAAAGAGACCTTCTAAAAACATGCAAATGTATTACTGGCACACGAAACCTTAAATTGGAGTGAATAAATGAAGACTCGGCACCCCACTTCAGAAAGGCTGCCAACCCCTAGGATTGACATACTGTACATAGCTGCCATTCATACATACCACCCTAAATGCAACTCCTGCTTTTGTGAGGACAGTCTGACAGTTTTTCCTACTGTACCTCTGTGCTGCAACCTCACAGAACTATATAGCATCTGAAAGCATAGGGTTACATCAATCAGGGAAGGTTGGAGCATCATTCAATAGGGGCACAGTTAAGGTTATAGGGCAGGGCTGGTGCATACATATCTCTATATTTACTGGATTTTAGTGGTTTAAGTATCAGTGAACTTGCTAGTGTAGAAGAGTAGGAGGCAGTGCTAGTCAACCTTGACTCTATATTAGTGAAGTTTTTGGGTAGTGAATAGATGGCAGTCTTAAAATGAAGAGTTAACAGGACGTTAGGAATTTGTCAACATCTGTGAGATGTATTTCCTGGTCTGATGCCTGAGATTAGACTTGAAATACACTTGTGGCTGAATAACAACTTGTGACAAGTATATCAGCTGTTGTTGGCTTTGTTTCTTTCTTGGGTTTCTTCCTTTGATCTTTGTGCAATAATTATTTACCAAAACTGTAGTTAATAGTTTGAAGGAAGGACTCCCCCCATTATTTGTCAAAAGATTACATGTAGTTTTAGACTCCTTTTACATACTTACACATGTATACATTTAACTTCAAAATAAGATTCATCTTAGCTATTATATAGCACTTTTTAGCAGATCTCAAAATGCTTTAACTAAAAGTTACTAGAGGACCAGCTCATTACCTACTTATGTCATATCTACTTAGGTTCTGTGGGTCAAGAACTGGGTGAAGCAGTCACTTAACACATCAGTGAAAACATGGATCCAAAATCCCTCCCCTTCACCATCCTCACCATTCAGATTCAGATTCCATACCCACATATGCAGGAGTACTTCAGGTCTGCCAACCCAGGATGAATTTAATCTAGGAGGCATATGGCACAGGAGAAAAGTCCTTAAGATAACCTCTGCTCTTGACTTCTTTCCACTTAAAATCTCAAATATAATATTAAACTTATTTTTTACATAGATTAACAGGGTATTGCTTATAGCATTATTCCTATACTTGCCAGTTCAGACATTAAGTGAATTCATGGCCGCAGCAGCATAATCTAGGTACACACATCACTTTAGCATCTGAGCATCTGTCCCTTTGAAATACTGTAGGCATGAGATTTAAATAGAGGTTTTTTTTCTTCATTTAGTAATTCTGTCCTTGTAATCCTGACCCATCTACAACTGCTTTCTGATTTTATACAGTTGTGTGCTACTCAGATGAGGTCCTAGTGTTTAAATATTTATGCTTAGCATGTTACATTGTTGAACGCACAGAAAAGGATGGACCCTCTTCCTGTTGAGACTGTTAATTACACTATGTTTGTAAACCATCTTAAGATCCTCTCATGAAAGGCACTAGAAAAAGCCAATCCATCATCATCAATGCATGAATTACCAGAGCTTATTGGAGTATTTGCTATAATGCTGCTGTTCTTGGACTACCCATATTCCTTGGTGTAATCTATTTTAAAACTGTTTTTCTGTATTTCCTTTTTTTCCCCAATTCAGCTAACAAAGTGTTTTGTTTCCTATGACATTTTATTACATGCATATTAAAACAAATCCATCTAGAATTCCACACAAATTGTTGCTACTCTGGACATAAGGGCCACTCAGAATGTTATGGCACCAGCAGGGATAGAATTCAATTCTCCTGCTGCAAAAGCACAGGCCCCCTACTCCTTGAGCTAAAGGACAAACACAGTTGGGAGGTAGGCGTACAGCTGTGCATGTCTGATTCCAACTAACAGGGAACAAAAGTGTAGATACATACTAGCCAGCTAATTACAGTACTTTAAAACAGCAGTCTTTATTTAGACACTAGGTGGTTAGGTCTATACCCCTGCACAGAAGGTAACTGTGGCCTGCAGGAACTTCTGCACTAGTCTGGCATAAACATAACAGCTAACTTATAATTAAAAGGAGGAGCATATTAGCCACAGTGGTTACTGCAACGTCAAGGCTCTGAAGCATCTTTAGTACTGCTCAATATCCCAGGGGAGGATTCAATCTCTATTCCAGCTCATAAAAATCCCCCCCTCTCAACCCAACAATTATGGTTGTGTACAGATCCTGAATTTTCCTTTCTTCCTTCACATTCATGGTAAGGTTGGTTATATGGCTACAGGTCTTTTTGTTTTTTTTTAAAACATAAACATACAGAGCATTTGTACGTAGGCTCAAAATTTCAACTTTGTGTGGATTTACCAGTATTGTGTCCTGCTAATACAGATTGCAAGAAGAGGCTCTTTCAGAGTCCTCTTCCTTACTGCGTAAGGTCTTACATTTTAAACAGTTCCTAGTCCTGCTTTTTGTTTGTTTTTAAAGAATACTGAAGCGGAGTTCCAGGCCTTTGACTTCATGTCAGTGAGATTAAGACCTCTGCCAATGAGTATGATCCAATATTTATTTCTTCATTTAAAAAATAAATAAAATCAACAGGTGCCCCTCCAGTGTTCCAGTGGCAGCAGTCCAGCACAATAGCATTTTTCAGTAAATGTTATCTTAAGCTCCAGAATCTAACTTTTCATTTAAAATTAAATTATGTCTCTATCCCGTACAGTTGCAAAGACCCCTCAAATCGTGAGCAGAATGTAAAAAGATAAGAACGGATGCCCAAGTCTACTGCCAGCCTGACACAATAACTCTGAGACAACGGCATTTCAACAGGGTATTGAATCTGAGGCTTTATTATAATTTAAATATCAACATTATTCAAAAATACTATCAAGGAGGAAACAAAATCCTAATTGCCTGAAAATTTTGTAACATCTATAGTCAAATGTAACCCTGTAGGTTCCTATAACTTGAAAGTGCTTGCAAAGAAAATAAATCTGTTTTTGCAGTTTATTTACTTTGTGCATTTAATAGCACTTTGTGTATACGCAGTTTCTCCTTTGATGAAAATACCATTATAAACATCAACAGAGGAGCAAAAAAAAGCTGGAAGCATTTTTAAATTTGCTGTCTGATTTTTTTTTTTAAGTTTTCACTTTGACAGAATATCACTTTTAAATCCTTCGTTTTTCAAAAAATCAAGTTGATTATTTTACTGGTGATCAAGCCATACAAGAAAGTTCAGGGTAAATTAACTTGTGAAGATCTGCACAAGCCGCTTTGAGTGGCATCTCAAGTGAGAGGAGAACAGGGCTTGGGAGAATATTTTTTTTGGATAAACTCAGTTTGACCCATGAATGAGGATAGGATGTTCAGTATAATTTAATTTAAGAAGTTCACTTTAAAAAAAGAGAGAAATTCCAATTTATAAGTGAAAATCCCATCTACAAATCCATCTCACATACAGCCCTCTTACATGATCTCAGTTAGGGCACCAAAAATCTAAGTCCAGCTCTCACAAATGTTTGATTTAATAAAACTCCAAACAAGAAAATCAAGTTGCCTGTGCCTTTTGTTTTTCCACCCATCAGCAATGTTTCCCCTTGAAATATGATACTTCTCCTCAGGCTATTCTTCCACTAGACTGCATCAATTGCTTCAGTTCAATTAGCAATGGCAGTTTTACTTGTAATGGGGAGGCATTAAATTGAGCCAGTTTAAAGCAGTACAGGTCTCAATAACTACTGAGTAAATGTAACAATTTCTAGTTAGTAATCTTTGTAAATTAATGATCATTTGTGCCTAATTTAGAGCTTTGGAAGATGGTGATTAAAGAAATACCTTTCCTTGTAGAATCAAAGTGAAATAAAGGATCCTTTTAATAGCAAATGAGGAGTTGAGCTAGTAAGAGTTGGATGGCTGAAAGCTCTGGTCAAGCTGGCGGGTTTTGCCCTCTAAGATAAAAACGGCTGGGGATAAATAAAACAGAATGGAGCATGGATTTAAAATTAAGCAGAAATATCACATCTAAGAGCAAGTGATCTAAACTAAATAAATTAAAATAAATAAATAAAAAGCCACTATGTTTCTGGCTATAAAATATTGGAAGAAGTTCCTTTCATGGCCTATCACTTAATCACTGCTGAATGATATAAAGTGTCCTGAGAAACAGCGTACTGTCTCCTTAGACCTCCCAGCTCAGGGACCAATAAACCAGAAGTTAAACATAGGTTTTCTTAATCTCTTTAGCAGTTGTATTGTTTCGTCTTATCTCCTGCAGACAGCTTCTTGGATCGCCAAGTATGCCCATTTTCTAAAGTTATTGTCCTCAGTCTCTACCATATCAGTAAATTTGCAGTTCAGTGGACTTCCAATGAATATAAACTTAGCAAACAGTGTTTAATAATTTATTAACTTTTCCCATTAAATGGTACATTCTCTAAGATGACAAACAATTTCCTGGTAGTTTTATTTACAGTCTTCAGGATGTTCTGTAAAACTCAATAATGATTACAGACTAAAACACACAACATACATATTTTCAAACATTTAAATAGAAGCACATTTTATTCAAAAGTAATTCTACACACTACTTTTTCCATAAAAATATAAAAAATAGTTTAATTACTATATTTTACCTAAACCAGGATATCTAGGAATTTTCTTTCACATATGATGCCCCCTCCCAAAAAAAGGGAACTCCATCAATAAGAAATTGAAAAGGAGACTGCATCACAAAATTAAATGACTAATGCCATCTGCTTAAATTCACCACAACAGCAGATTAGTTCTATTTAGCAACTTGCAAAAGACATCTTGCAGTATGCAGGGTTGTGATGTTCGTTTGCTGGAATTTTTGGCTAATATGCCTCTTCCATTTCTTTCACAAATGTGCACAAACTTGTCATGTAAAAATAATGGACTGAGCCAAATAATCATTTTATACTGCAAACTATAATGCCAGGTGCCATGTGCCCAACAAACGCAAATTGGCAATTTTACACTACACAATAATTTTGCAAAAATAGCAAAAGGGAAATATCTTCCTTTTGGGAACTATATTTAAAGGTGACTCATTTTTTCTTACTAAACTTCCAATGAAAATAGCTTTTTGTCCTTGCTTTGAAAATAATGTCTCAATTATATTTATGTTACTACCATTTCTCCAACTCATATTCTGTGTGGAAAGCTAAATGAGTTCGGGAGTTGGGGGGGGGAGAGGGGGGAGGGAAGAACCACTGTGGCCCCTCTCTTTTTAGGATACATTTAATTTTTATAAAAAAGGCACAAAGATGAAACTCCTAAGCAGCATTAGTTATTATGATTCGCCTCCCCCCCCCCCACCTGTAACCCTCGTCTTATTCCGATGCTACTGCTGCAAGAGACATTCTTTGTCTCAGAGAATGTTACAGTTCCATGAACTCAGGAAACAGGCAAAGTTGAAAAGACTAGCTAAAGCCTTTGTACAGTACAAACAGCATATGGATCTCTAACAAATTAGCACTAATAAAGGTTTTATGTTGCAATTAACCTTTGACCTGGAAATCTCAGGAAAAGTCATTTGAGAAAAGCTGAGCAAGAAAGTATAATATATTTCTCAGCAAAGGGATGGAAGTCATCCTCTGAGCAATACTGTGCATTCAGTTTAGCCAGATAATGGTAATGCTATTCGAATACTACACAGCCACTGGTGTTAGAAGCTCTTATTCCTCTTCCTCCCTAACTAGTTTACAGGATTTTCTAAAACATAAATGACACTGCTGTAAACAGAGGGTCAGTATATGACATATACAGCACAATCTGAAACAAGAAGGTTTTGCTCTCTGGCATGTAAACATTAGGGTTACTGGACTTTAGGTCATATAAACAAATCTGATGACAGATTTTTAAACTAAAAAAGTAAAATTTCCCATTAAAGGATTAACCACAAAAATACTCTTTCAATAAGTCTCACTTGCCATGTAATACCTTTTTATGTCCTATGACCGAATATGTAAAACACTTAGAAAGTTTTAAACTGTAGAAATTTTAACCAGTTAAGCTGTTTGGCAATAATATATTCAAAACCTCCTTAGAGAATGACATTATCGTTCACGAATACCAGTCCTACATTGTCACCGAACATGGCACCACACTATTTCTTCTTCTTTTTCTTCGGTGGCTCATCATCAGAGCTGCTGTCTGTGCTGGTGCTGCTGCTACTGGAGGAACTAGAATCTGACTCGAAGTCTGAGGAAGAGGAAGAACTACTTGAAGATGGGGAGGATGAGGAAGTGGAGGAGCTTTCGTCACTGTCGCTGTCATCAGAAGAAGAGGAGGAAGAGGAATCTTCACTCTCGGATGAAGAATCACTAGCTGAACTGATGCTGCTATTGCTGCTGGAACTGGTGACGCTCTTAGACCTGCAAGAAACATGAAAAGGACAGATGAGAGATTTTCTTCCCAGTACAGTGGTCACTGAACAGACCACTACAAAAAAACAATGTTCATTACAATCTTCCAGACGTGATTCTGTCTGAAGGTGGTATTTCCCCCGCTTTCTTGATTCTATTTTGAACAAATACCCTTAAGCCATTTGAGTAATGGGACAGTATAATACATACTTCCCCATCGTAAAACAAAACAGAACTACAGGAGAAAAAGCAAAGGTTTGAAACTTGGTATGGGTATCATCCTTACTGAGGACTGGGGTCTTTGTTTGGTTAGAGTGGGAGAGAGAGAATAAAAGTTTTAAGTGATAGGAAAAAGTGACTGGACAACAACTAAGATTTTAGAAAAGCTTAATGAAGGTCTGTTCCTTTGACATTATTGTACATGCTCCCTGGATGAAATTCTGGCCCCACTGAGGTCAATGAGAGTTTTACTATTGACTTCAGTGGGACAGAATTTCACCCAAGGGATGCTGCTCCCAAGTTACTAATGGAGAAGGAATCCAACGTACCCACCACTACAGTAACATTTTGTGAGATGGAGATTTTAATAATCTCAGTGAAACTTTCAGAAAAAACAAATCCTTTAAAAATAGCGTTATCAAGGGCAAGGAAAAACATGAATATGGGGGTAAATATCATGAAGTCCTGCACGCTCTGCCATTTTTCTGAATTCATATTCTGCAAACGCCAAGCTTTCATTTTGATTTTTAAAAATCAGTCGTTTTCCCATTAAGATGCAGCGACCGCAGATGCGCTACCACTCCTAAGCAGTTTGAGATTTTGGCATGGACAATGCTACTAAGTGCCAAAAATGAACAACACAGGTTTTCCAAAGATACCTCAGCCAAAAACCAAAGGTGTTAGCTCACCTTGCTCGCATTCCATTCAGTCAACTGAATGTCATCCCTAACTGGTACTATGTAAAGTGCTAGAAATATTAAGCATAGGTTCGTCTTTCTCCAGAAAAAAGGAAATTAAATGCAATCATAACATTAAAGGTGCTTAGCTGAAAATCACTAAGTCAGGAAATTCATAAGCTAAGTTTATAACAGCTACATTAACTCTGCCTCATTGTGCATCCACAGTTGTGTCAAATTGACATACGTAGAGCCATGTGTTAGGATGTTCTGAGCCATTAACAACTTAATATACATCTGTTATCTGTATTCCCACCCCCCCCCAAACAGCTGTTTTTTCCATTGAGGGCAGTTTATTTACAGCTGCTCAGGAAGGAATCTCCAGAAAATAAGCTAATAGAAGCCACATCTTAAAGTGGTGTTCGGAATCATTAGGACGGATCACTACATAGGTAGTAGAGTGGGTACTTGCAGATAATGCCTAATAGCTATTCCCTTGATGGAAAGATTTTGGGGGAGAGGACAAGGGCCAAGGATGGGAAGCAGAAAATCATCTACAATAGAACCTCAGAGTTACAAACATCAGAGTTACGAACTGACCAGTCAATCACACACCTCATTTGGAACCGGAATTATGCAATCAGACTGAAGCAGAGATGCGACCAAAAGCCCTGGCTGGGATGATTTAGTTGGGAATTGGTCCTGCTTTGAGCAGGGGGTTGGACTAGATGACCTCCTGAGGTCCCTTCCAACCCTGATATTCTATGATTCTATGAATAGATGCATTGATTTTGAAATTCCATTTCAATAATATATCAATAAAATGAGTTTTTATATAAGGCAACCTGAATCAGATCTCTGATACTGCACACTAGATACAGGTAAGTGCATCAGAATAAGCAGTAGACTCATGGATCAAAGGAGGCAGAATCAGCCAGAGTCAAAGATCAAGTGTCTTGGGGTTTGCAATCTACCTTCCAAAAGAGTGCCATGAGGGAGGTGGTAAGAGCTAGTGTGGGCACAAGAAAGTCCAAAGCAACCTAAAAGTTATGGGGCACAATTGCAGGAGTTTTGTCATTTCGTATTTTTCTGGTTAAGCCTGTAGCAATGCCACTGGAACTTTAACTTCTGCATCTCTTAACTTCAGGATTTTAAGTATACAACAACATGCTGTGTTGAGTATTTTTGTATTTAATTCTTCCTAATGCATAGTAAGTGTATTTGATGCTTTATAGGCAAATAAATGAATACTGTGGTTGGATCTGAGGAGGCCTATAACACGTGAGAAAACAATTCAAACCAAGAATGTGTAATGTTTTAAAGGTGATCTGCAAAGAAAAAAAATGGGTCTGTCAATGTAAAAATAAAGTCTAAAATCTTTTTGCCAAAATAAAAGGATGTCTTTAATAAAAAAAACATTGCTTCTTCAACTGAGCTGAGAGCTCACCAAGAAATCTACCAGTAAAACCAGCCAAAAAAAAATCTTACTGCGTTATAGGTGAAACCGCGTTATATCGAATTTGCTTTGATCCGCGGGAGTGCACAGCCCTGCCCCCCTGGAGCGCTGCTTTACTGGGTTATATCCGAATTCATATTATATTGGGTCACGTTATATCAGGGTAGAGGTGTATATCATAAAGATGCAAAGAAAAGGGCACTTGACCAATATTTAAAAATCCTTTGCACGTCTCCTTTAAAGGAGGGATTTTGAGACAGAGGGCGTTTTCCGAAATGGAGCGTGGGTGGCTGTTCCAATCAGCAGAGCAGCAATAAAGGAGGCATTAAGCTAGAAGTGGGAGAAGACAGTTAGACCATATTTCCATTAGGGACTGTCACACAAAAATGTTGCTCGCAGATATGGAACACATAACAGCACCAATGGCAACCTTATCACAAAGTTCTACTCGTTTTTTATACTAACACAATAATTAAACTGGTCTAGCTGTGGGCTCCCAGCAGCGTTATCACTGCTTCGTAAGACCCAGTTTTAGTGTCAATGATAGCTTTGTTTGGTTGGGTTTGGATTGGTTTTATTTACAGTCGCTAGAAAAACTTTTAGAGGGAGATGGCAGTTTGGAATGGGGAAGAGATAAGGAACAGCAAGCTCGGGAGAAGGAACTATTATTAACTGGAAAACAGTAGTCAATTATTGCAGTTATTTGAAATACAAATAATGCCCTTCTAGCCAAAGGAAGGAATATTTTTTTCTACTAAAGGGAAGAGTATGTAGAGAAGGGAAGATCAAAGAGGAAAAAGTGAAGACAAAGAATTAGAAGGTGAAGGGGTTGGAGAAACTTCAAGTGCTCATAGCATGACTACTTAGAGGAGGCCAAAAGTGACAAACACAATCCTTCATTTGCAATTTCTACTTCCAGTATCTTACACACCCTCTTTCACATTACCCCCTGCCACAGTGAGTGCAACATCATGCACTGGAATAGCTGTACTTTTAATCTTTTCCCACATACCTTTTTTTCTTGGTCTTCCTTTCTGCAGTACTTTCTCCAGTTCTAATTAAGGGGAGGGGAAAAACAATGGCTTTGATTAATGCAGTGGGAAAAATTAAGTAAACAGGTGCACAGTGGAGTTGAGGTTTATAATAGAAAATCATCATCCCACTGGCAGAAAAGTAAACAATGGGTTGTTATGACTAAAGTTCACTTGGCACATTCACTTTCAGCCATTTTTCAACCCAAGAGGAAGACATTCCCTATAACTTAAAAAAAGCTGTTGTATTTTACCCTTTTAAACATTTTTTTGTATTTGAGTATGCCATACTCTCAGTTACCTTCTGCTAAGGGTTCTCTACCTTAAAATGAAAGTGTCTCTGTCAGTGTGAAAAGAAGATGTGTACAAGTTTTCTTTACCTAATATCTCAAATTATTAAAACTACATTTTCAAAGTCTAAATTAGTTTTCATCATTTATGCTCTTCATGAATTTCTCTCCTGTGCAATAGAAAGAAAACAGTCCATTTTTATTATCATCATCTAACTATTTCACTTTCAGGTCCTCATGCATTCACACACTGATAGAAAGTTTGGGTTTCAAACACTGCAGTGAAATGCTTGTTTAACAAAATATTTTCCTTCGGAATTAAAAAGGAAATCCCATGGAGAGATTTCTGTTGGTCTTAACTTTTGAGAAAACCTTTCCACAAAGTAGCAGTATTAGGCCAAATTTGCCATGACTGTTCCCTTTTCAATTGATATGGTCATATCACCTTCTCAGCCAACTGCAGAGGTAAACCACACGAGGCCTCTATTTTGCATAGTATTTAAGCATGTAATTAATTCCATCCCTGTTCGGGGAGGTGCAGTGTCTGAGTGGTTAAGGTCCTCAGCTACAATCCTGAAGACCCTGGGTTTGAGTACCAAGTATCAGAGGGGTAGCTGTGTTAGTCTGTATCCACAAAAACGATGAGTCCGGTGGCACCTTAAAGACCAACAGATTTATTTGGGCATAAGCTTTCGTGGGTAAAAAACCCACTTCCTCAGATGCATGGAGTTTGAGTGTCACTCGATTTCACACTGAAAGGTTACCTCTTATCACCCAACTGACCATCTTTGATGTGAAGCTGGCCTCATCACTCCCTTGTATACTGTTGGCTATGAAACTGATATAACCACAGCAGCCCAATGAGCCATTGGCTCCAGAGAACTTTGACTTGACTAGTCAGGAAAGCATTTAAGCATATGTTTAACTTTAAGCTTGTATTTACATCCCATTTGACATCCAATGGATTTAAGACCTTTCCAAAAAAGGGATTCTTTTCTTAATCAAGGCCTAATATTAGGAGCAAACTTAGATAAATAGAAGCAAAAACTATTCCTGGTTTTTACAGTTCAGTTGCTCACATTTCACTTAAAAGATGAGCAGCACTGGATTTTAGAGAACAGAGCTCATCCATACAGTATCCAAAATAATGTTTTTGTTTTTTTTTAAACATAATATTGTAATGAAATGGTACTAGGTAACATCAAGGAGAATGCAGACTTGCCTACCGTCACACAGACCTGCAATATGCTCATGCATTTTGCAGGTCTATGTGACAGTAGGCAAGGTGTCAAGCATTCCCGCACAACTGGTAAAAGGATATGGGTCTGTGTGCAAGAAGAGTGCTTTCCTCACATAATCCCCAGTTGCCATACAGAGAGTTCACTAAACTACAAACCAGGAGCTCACAAATTCTAATCCCAACTCTTTTACTAATTGTTCTCTCTATTTCTGTGCCCTCCACAACCTTCACTAATCAGGGCCTCCTGTGCCACCTTAGAGGAGGCACTTATTCATTCATTCATTTTACATCAGGCAAAGCTGCGAATAGAACCCTGGTCTCTAATTTGCCAAAATGCCTTTCAGAAGAAAGGGCCTAGATTATGTGTTAACCTAACCCATGATAACAGAGTGTGGATTCTTTGTCCCGCTCTAGTGGCCAACCAAGACAGAAATTTATGAGTCTGCTACTGCCTCCATACTAATGTGTATTGTCCTGGAGCTCAAGTGATAGAAACCCATACTTTTAAATCCAGAACTCCCAGGTTCAAACTCTGCAGATGATCCAAACAGAGACACTATTACACTTGTCTATGCAATCTCTACTCTACCATACTCAGCTCCCAGAGCCAGCAATACAAATCAGGACGACTCATACCCTACATTCACAAGCAGTTGTCTAACCCAGTAATAAAGTGTGCTGTCTCCCACTCTACAATCTGCTCCATAAGGGGGATAACAGTAAGCTTTCCCCTATCAGTTATTCCTATAGTTGCCATGGTAGAGGACGATGGCATAGATCTGAAGATTGTGGGATCAAACCTGTGTTGTTTTATTATTGGCCTGCTGCTGCCCTATAGATAAACCAAGGTCTTAATTCTCTACAGATGCATGAGCATTAAATCCACACTCCTCCCCTACACAGAATCACACAGCTGGAATCTGTGCTGGTATGCAAATTAGTTACAAATATGAAAAATTAAGTAATTTGCATGTATCACACAGAGTTGCACAAAACTTGGCAGCTACTGGAATTAAACCTTTTAAGCCTCCATTTGGTACTGTACTTATATCATCATTCCCTATAGAAAAGCCAGGGAGTCTGCCCTCAGGATGTTGAGGAGGTACTGCACGTCTCAGCTTTGTACTACATAAAACGTATTACATTTTTAAACAAGCGGTAATTCAGTTTTACACTTTTAGAATCTTACAGCAATTTTTTTAGAATTTTAGAAACCTTTAAAATTCTTTTTCCATTGTCTTCATTAAGAACATTATTCGTAGTATTTAAAGTATATTTACATTTCATTCTTACGTCACTTCCCTTCCTCACCCCAGCTATTGTACAGTACTTGATGCCTAACAAGTAGGGACAAGGAAATATGTCCCAAATGTTGCATCAAAATTTGAATAAATTTTAGTGTCTAAAAGCACACAGTCATTATGTATTAGAGGGCTTCATAATCAGAATTATTACTTTGTACTGAAGTTCCTCAATTTTAGCTCACACAACCTCCATCTAGGTCAATAACTATTAACTAACTAGAAGGATCATAGTGCAAAATTATTTTCCCACATTACCTAGTCTTGGACAACCGGACTTGTTTGCCAGTGCAAGGCTATATTACATATATAGTTATTCCATTTGAAAAACTACATTTGTCAGAAAATGAAGATGTGAAGACTGACACAATGGCTTTAATTTTGGCCCTTTTAAATGTGTATTACTTTTACAACCATATTGTTCTACATAGGTTTTTATATGGAATGTCCTAGATTTTTGTTGGGGTTTTTTTAAGAAAGAAGTCCAAAAAAAACAACAACCCAGTATGTACACAGGTCATAACATAAGCGAATCTCATTATGCTGTAATTATGCACACCAATCAAGTTTTTTTTTAAAAACCCTCACACCCATCACATCCCCCTTTTCTCTAGAAAACAGATAATTATTTAAAAAGTGCTTGTGCTAAAATGCATACCAAATTTCACTTTTATAATGCCAAACTATTTCCACATTAAACCTTTTAAAAAGAAATAGTTCAAAACATTTTTTTAATAATAAAAGTATTTTCCTCCACACCGCTCACATTTTTAAAAATGGCCGAACCATTTTTTGCTCAGACTTTAAAAGAAAATTAACCCTTAGGTGGAGACCTTGTGTAACCCCCACACCTTCTGGGTGTGGTGTTCTGTCCCCTCCAGTGGCACCGAGACCACTTAGAGATTAATGAGGCTGCTACTGCCTTAGTTAAGGCTTTTAGCTCATGCAGTAGAGGCTCATGCATTAAGCTTCAGAGATCCCAGGTTTGATCCCCCTGCTGACAACCGGGATCTGTCCATGTTACACTTGCATAGAAAATTTCAGCCCCAAAAGAATAAAGATTCAGAAAGTCATAAGCAACTGACAAAGGGAAAAATAAAGTTAGAATGAAAATGCTTAAGAAACCTTAAATCCTTGGAAGCAGCAAAGAGTCCTGTGGCACCTTATAAACTAACAGACGTATAGGAGCATGAGCTTTCGTGGGTGAATACCCACTTCTTCGGATGCATGGGTGGGTATTCACCCACAAAAGCTCATGCTCTAATACGTCTGTTAGTCTATAAGATGCCACAGGACTCTTTGCTGCTTTTACAGATCCAGACTAACACGGCTAACCCTTTGATACTTAAATCCTTGGGCTTCACTTGGCCAATGGCATTAAGCACTGTGTTGTCTAACCCTGCTTAAAACAAGTCTACACAACACAAGGTTCAACACATCAGCAGCCATTAGTTCTTGCCTATGCTAGTGTTCCTACCATTGCTACCGATAGTGAGTACCATTGCTATTCAGTATATGATAACAGCTAGGAGGATGGTCGACATAAAAATTATATGAAATATCCCTTTATGTTCAACATTTTGGAAAGCTTCTCAGTTCATTAAATGACTTCATTTTCTCTCTGAAGGCACTTTTGATTAAAAGGGTGAAATGCTTGAGTGCCGAATTCTTCTTCACTGGGAGAAACAACACAATTCTATCTAGGGGCCACAAGAATTAAGTGAAGTCACACTTCAGATTAAGGCAAAGTCCAATTTGGATATTTCTTCTTGGTTGTAGGTATCACCTGCCTAGGTGTCTCAGATGTCAAAACTGCAAAGCATGTAGTTCTTTTAATCCAATAAGATGTATCCACGATATTTCTAGGAATAAAGAATTGGCAATACATATGAATCCATATCTTGCTCCCCTATTTGCTTTTTATTCTTCAAACTAAAAACAAGGAAAAACCATGCTCCTGATACACTGTTAACGTAGCACCTGTGTTTTTGTTGGTGGACACATTTATGGTGAGACTATAAAAATGACACATCACATACTTTTCTAATTATGCTTATTGTCCCCACACTAGGAAAGATGTACACAAACTGTTTTCTAAGCCCCATGTAAACATGTAATAAGGTAAGTGGTCAAGATGTCCAGAAAACAATGACCCATTACAAAAAGGCCCCATTACTTATTTTGACTTTATTCCAGTGACCCATTTTTGTTTAAAAAACCTGTTTGATCTAAGTTATAACAGGGAGAGATTGACCAAATAACCTGTGGATACTGTGGGATACAAATACACGTGTATATGCCTTTTACATACAGTAACTATTAATGTTAATGGGAGTTACACATACAGACTGAAGAGAATGAACACAAAAACCACACAAAGAAAACTGACCACGGTACTACAATCTCCCAAACACAGTCTATACATACTTCTGCTAATGGTTTTTAAGCCTTAGACTGGCTGATCTTACCTTTGTTGCAACAATAGTCTGTTTTCTTTTTCTTTCAGAGCTTTCGCTAATTCCACTGTCCTTGATGGTCTGTGCAGATATTTTCTTTTCCCGGTACATTCATAGGTCCAATGTCCAAACTCTAAACACTTCTGACATCTCACATGCTGCTTGTTTGCCTCCCTACAAAAATACAGAATTTGCTTAAGAGCAGGTTTGTATTTAAAGTTGGGATATTTAAGCACAATCAACACTATCTATTGAAAATTACATGGTGCATTTTAGCATACCAGTCCTAAGACAAAGTATTTGTCTTGTTTAATTTGAGCTTTAACTGTCTGCCTGTATTTATTGGTGCTTTAGCTTTTCTCAAGTCAGAACAATCCTGCATTTCGTTGGGGCAGACAAGCACATGCATATACCTGCATATAGTCAATGGCAGGGTTGGGTCCTTTGTGATTACTGGAATGTTCCTGTATCAGTTATTTATCAGAATGAACACAAAGACACTTTTCTATTCCAGAACTGGAGCTCTCAAGTCTCTCTTTCTGCTGAAGTGGTAAAGACTAAACTACACTTTGCTCTTGGTTGACACATTGGCAAACGGTGTGTGGCCAGCATTTTAGACTAATAACTCCTATTGGTTGGTCTCTCTTTCAATCTTTCCTCACTCTGCTTGGAGTTCATAATTTCCCATTCCCTTCAGAATTTAAAATTCATAAACAACTATTAAAGAGTTTGAAGAAAAGTGGAAGTGGAGTAATTCTTAAGTTTCAGCCAGTGAACAAAGGTAATTCAATTATTGAAAACACAATTCTTGTCCCAAACTATCAAATATTTTGGCAGCATGTTTTATATTCCTGCACCAACAGCGGGCAATATGGTTACATAAACATAGATAAATGTTAGTAAATTGTACCCGATGTTACAATCTCCGAAGAATTTGCACCTGCCTCCATAGTTTTTTCAAACAAGCACCTACAAACCTGTTCCTATCCATTGAGTCAGTTAGTTGCAATATTTTGGGCAGCCTAATTTTCAAATCATGGGAGTGTAGTGATTAGAGGCAGAACAGAATGTCAGACTAAATAGGACACCGTGTTCCTTGTGGGAAATTAAAGAGCGATCCTACAATTTCAGCAGCCAGTTAATGACTGCTATCACAAAAGATGCAAATGAGGCATGTGAAGTTCGAAGGTAACATTTTACTCTGTCCATCCCAAGTATAACCTGACTCTGACTTTCTTGCGTGCATAATTCACTAGAGTTAGCCATGCAAAATTTTACTCACCTGCTTCCTGAGAAGGTGTAAACTATTAATTTTTCACCATTGTCACAGTAAACATGGGTGAATAATTTTGAGCCCACATTGGTAAATAGTCAGAGAGTTTTGCAATACTTTGCTAGAAATCACAGAGTGAAAAAACTTCCTTTCAGTTTAATATGGGTTAAAGGAGACTCTGATGATATAATCATCCTGAAGAAGTGAGTTCCCACTAACAACTTTTCACTGACACAGGAAGGGAGCTAAAGTTGTTTCCTCTGTTTTATTTTTCCCTCCCACTCCTCATTAATTTCTTTATCTTTAAAATAAAATATTTAGCACTTTTACTTTGATTCATATTTACACTCCCGAGAGGTAGGTATTAGTCTCCTTTTACAAATGAGGAAATTAAAGCAGAGATATTAAGTGACTCACCCAAGGTCACATCACAAATTGGTGCCAGAGCCAAGATAAAAAATAGGATTTTCTGACTCCCAGTCTTCTGCTCAATTTATTGCACCAAGCTGCCTTTCAACTCTGCCTTTTACCCCCTTCCCTCAACTGAAAGACTCACTTCAGAAAGTTCAGTCCATTCAGAGCCACACAACAGCCACATACTACTAGAAAGAGGAAAATTCCTAACTGCATATTTAGCATTTAGACACAGTGAATAGGAGGAGGATAGGAGGAAGGAGGAGAGAGAGGCTATTAGCATTGATGGATGTTTTGGTTTGGTGTGAAACTATGAGTCACCTACTGCGGTACAGAAGAATGGCATGGTTCACTGGCCTTTGTCATCACTTACTCAGGCTCCCAGGTCTATCAAGTTTCTAATAGTCATCCTGTCTATAACATCCAACACCTTTTCGAGACTAAACTTCTCTGGCTTCTTGTAGTAGCCCTAAGGAGAAATGGTGCTAATTTAGATTCAATAGGGAACAAATAAGACTCACAATTAATTGCACACAATTAACTTTGAGAATTTAATTTCAGTAGGGAACAGTACTTTTAGTAAGTAGGCTGAACAAGATTCTAGGGCTACTGAAAGTTTTTTAAAGTTTTATTTTCTCAAGCTCCATTTCGAGACTCCACCAAGAGAATATCTGTGAATACTGAAATGCCTTGAGACACATGTTGCACTCAATGGTCAGCCCCCCATTAGCCTACTAATATAACTCTACTTCAAATTTTACAAAGGTTAAAAAAATAACTGAGGGCTAACTAGGTGTATTTAGACTACCGAATACATGGCGTTGTAAACAAAATGAGGCCCCAAACAGCCAGTAAACCGTCACTGATATATTTTATGTGGTGGATGGCACTTAATAGACAAATATTAAAAAAGATCTTTGCTATTAAAACGTTACCGTATAGGTTTGGATGTAACATAAAAACCTTGCATGTGCTGGAGGGGTATCCAAACTAATTGAAACATACTGCTTCCAGCCCCCACTAAGAAGAGGGGCTGAAACACCTATATACTGTAGCAATATATGTTTTACTAGACATGCTTAGAGATAGATGAAGATTCTTATGCCGCCGGCCTATTCCTCCATGGAGATTAGTAGAAAAGGAAGATTTTTCTGCTGCATCAACTCCCTGCCAACTCCTACAGAAATCAGCCTTGTCTCAACTGAAGCTCAAAGGAGGAGGAAGTTTGGTACAATGAATCCAGGGTTTTTTTGGTCAATGTAGTCAATCTCCAAGAGGAGGTAACTAGGTTGACGGAAGAATTCTTTTGTCAATGTAACCGCATCTACACTGCGGGTTAGGTTGACCTAACTCAGGGGTCGGCAACGTTCAGCACGCGGCTCGCCAGGGTAAGCACCTTGGCGGGCCGGGCCAGTTTTATTTACCTGCTGACGCGGCAGGTTCTGCCGATTGCGGCCCCCACTGGCCACGGTTCACCGTCCCGGGCCAATGGGGGCGGCGAGAAGCGGGTGCGGGCGAGCGATGTGCTGGCCACCGCTTCTTGCGCCCCCACTTGGCCCGGGACGGTGAACCGCGGCCAGTGGGGGCCAGGGTTCTTACCCTGGCGAGCCGCGTGCTGAACGTTGCCGACCCCTGACCTAACTAAAGATGCAAAACTTTTCACAGACCTGAGCGACATAGCTAGGTTGATCTAAATTTTTAAGCAAAACCAGGCCTTAGACTTCTGGCTCTGCCACAGATGCCATATGTGAGCAGAACTAGCACAGTTCCTCCACTTAATGAACACGCAAACACAAACAAACATTCAGCTTTTGGTGCCAACTCAAACCAGCACATATCTTCTCTACTGGAAAACACTAGAAAACTAGATAGTACAACCAAACAAAAACATACCATCACTTCCAAGTCCCAACACCACTCATCTCCTGACCAAAAAAGCAGACAATTCCACCCAAACCAAAATAAAAACTAAATCTAAAAGCAGTCTAATCAACGAGGGGGGAAAAGATCAAACAAACTAGACTGCTACAGATTTCTAAGCACAGCCCTAACAGCAAATCTCATACAAGTGAAATGGACAAGACTAAGGCCTTGTCTACACTACTAAGTTTTGTCGACAAAAGGCAGCCCAAAACAGAGCAAAGAAGACATGTTCCAGGGGGTATCGCACTTCTCCAATGCAGAGAAAAGGGAATGCAAGGAGTGGAGGGAAGCCGAAAGGCAGGACAGAAAAGAAAATCAGAAGTTTATTAAGGATGCTTCTGAGCAGATGTTTAGAGTCATGGAGGAGCAAACGCAGATGCTGAAGTCCTTAATAATGCTGCAGACTGAGCAGATGCATGCATGCCCTCCCCTGCAGCACATTCAGAACTTTTTTCCATGCACCCCTCCCCAAACTCCACCCGCACAGTCCTTTCTGCTTTCCTGGACTTCTCAGTTTCCCCTTCACTCCACTCCCTCTGACAACTTTAAAAACGATAGCTGGACCTACACACAGCTCTGAACGTCTGCCCTTCCCTGGTACCTCCTTCCCCACCAAGCATCTTTGTGTGAGTGTGTGTCGTTTCTTGTACAATAAAAGCAAAGTTTTTGAACAGTAACTCATCTTTATTTGTTTCCTACAAATTGAGATAGCAGGCACTACCAATACATACACAGGCATTTTAACCATTTGCTTACTGGAATGTAATACCCAAAATGTCACCATTGCTTCCTAGGAAAACTACATGTAATGTAACATTGCAGCACCAATCACAAAGATACACATTATTGGTTCTCATTTTCAAAGTGTTGCCTCAAAGCCTCCCTGATTCAAATTACCCAACTCTGGGCCCTTCTGACAGCTCAAAATCAGCAGCCAAGCAGTCTGCCTCAACACTCCACCTCTAAGCAAACCTTTCACCCTTAGCTTCACAAAGATTATGCAATAAAAATACATTAAATAAATTAATGAAGAATATCCTATCTCCTAAAATGGACCTTGAAAGTCATCGAGTCCAGCCCCCTGCCTTCACTAGCAGGCCCATGTACTGATTTTGCCCCAGATCCCTAAGTGGCCCCCTCAAGGATTGAACTCACAACCCTGAGTTTAGGAGGCCAATGCTCAAACCACTGAGCTATCCCTCCCTCTAGTCGTTATGCCTATAGGAATATTATCCTCATTGAGGTCTAACCTGCCATAAAAGCATCGCCAGCGCTTCTTTAATCTGCCAAAGGCACATCCCAGAGTCATCCGGCACCTACTCAGCCTGTTGTTGAACCGCTCCTTACTGCTGTCCAGGTTTCCTGTGTAAGGTTTCATGAGCCATGGTTGTAAGGGGTACGCTGGGTCTCCCAGGATCACTATGGGCATTTCAATATCCCCCACTGTAATCTTCTGGTCTGGAAAGAAAGTCCCCGCTTGTAGCTTTCTATACCGGCCGGTGTTCCTGACGATGCGTGTGTCATGCACCTTCCTGGACCACCCCACGTTGATGTCAGTGAAACGCCCATGGTGATCCCCAAGCGCCTGCAACACCATGGAGAAGTACCCTTTCCTATTGATGTACTCCATCGCAAAGTGGTCTGGTGCCAAAATTGGAACGGGTGTGCCACCTAGCACCCCTCCAGTTAGAGAAACCCATTTCTGCAAAGCCGTCCACTATTTCACGCATATTTCCCAGAGTCACGGTCCTTCGTAGTAGGATGCGATTAATTGCCCTGCACACTTGCATTAATGCAGCCCCAACAGTTGACTTTCTGATTCCAAATTGATTCGCGACCAACCAGTAGCAGTCTGGAGTTGCCAGCTTTCCCATGATTGCCACACACTTCTCTACCAATAGGGCGGCTCTCATTCTGGTGTCCTTGCACCACAGTGCTGGGGAGAGCTCCGCACATAGTTCCAGGAAGGTGGCTTTCCGCATCCAAAAGTTCTGTAGCCACTGCTTGTCATCCCACACCTGTATGACAATACGATCCCACCATTCAGTGCTTGTTTCCCAAGCCCAAAAGCAATGGTCCACCCTCTGCAGCTGTGTGAATGCCAAAAGCAATCCAAAGTTGCTCCTATGCATATCACACAGCATGTCAGGCAACTGGGAGTCTTCTTCAGTTAGGAATGTCACAATTAACTGCACTGCCATCCGCGATGTCTTCATGACAGTTATCAGAGCATAAGAGAGCAGTGAGGGATCCATCCCTTCTCACAAAGATGCCGGAGTGCACAGCAAAGAAGGGCCATTAAAAATTCCATGAAAGAAAGCCAGAAGCCCATGGAATGCTGGGACAGAAAGTAATGCATCACAGGACATTGAGCCCGGTCCCAAGATGCGCCACGATCTGCTCCACCTTCCCACAAGACCTAGTGGCAGAAGGTGTCGAGCTGGACTGTGGGATACGTACCCACAGTGCACTGCTCACACTGTTGATGCCAGTGCCCCAAGTGTGGATGCGCTTTGCTGAAAGAGGGAGTGAGTGTGAACATGCAATACCGATTTTTATTATAGCGCTTTTTGAGTATTGACATAACTTTTGTTGACAAAACTCTGTAGTGTAGACAAGGCCTAAGGCAAGCTCATACTGAACCTGGGATCAGTGACTATAAACTATAAATGGAAGCTAGGGGATAAGTAGCACAATGCAAAACACATACAACCAACATGTAAAAGGAAAAGTTGAAATGGAGAAACTGTTCCAAAATGAAAGGGAAATAATTATTCCATAAATCATTAGAAATTATTAAACTTTCCACTGAAAAGTAAGGAAAAACTATGTAATCCTGGAAAAAGAAAGAAATGCAAGAACACTATCCAGCCCCATTAATCGCATCTGAAACAGACAAATATGACAAATAATTACAGGGAACAAACTCCCACAAACTACAGTGAAACCCTAAACAGACGTTTGATGTACTTTATCTACTGGTACCCCAGGCTTATCTTTTGCTCACTTGGCTCGAAAGGCTATAAAAGCACCTACCAACAACAAAAATTCATTTGAAATTACTTTGGCCAAGTTACTTTAAGGTGATCTGCATAACTTAAAAACAAAAATGTAGGCTTGTGCTTTTTTGTGTGCACTTCTGTAGATGTGTTAATAAAAGAGACCTGACGTGATTTTTTTCTGCCTTTCTTTTGATAAACTTTAAAATATTGTGTTTTCTCCCTGGTTTACTTGTGAACCTCATGAATCTCCCAGTGGTGTGTATTGTGAGTTCTCACACCTTAACTGAAAGGTGGGGGTGTTGAACTTTTAACATTTTGTAGAAAGAATGCCATAATTAATTAATCAGACATTGGTGTTAACAACTACTCAAAACAATCGGACTAAAACATCCTTCCTCTCTCAGTCATTCAGCTTTCATTCTTGACTATTGTAATACCATCATTTCACTAGTTCTTCAATCACCATAGTCTGCCAAGACACACAAGATCTGAATTTCTGGTGTAAAAACCAAGCAGAATATTTTCTGAACCTTTGAAAGGGGGGAGAAAAAAAGCCCATTTAACCTCTTTGTTTATCAGGGGGCTGATCTGTAATGGTACTTAACTATCTCACGCTGATAGTGAAACTCTTAGTTTGTTAACATTTGTAAAGAGCTTTGAAATCCTCAGATGCAAGGAACTAGAGAGGTGGAGAGTATTTATTATTCCTGTAACGGCCTGTACCATGGTTCACTTTTAATCTTCCAAACTATATTATAGAATTTGTTTTTAAGAATCAGTGAGCAGCAGTCCTGTCCCAGTTCACAGACAGGGTAGAATTAGCTCTTTCTGGGAGAAAGTACTTCATTATCCACTCCAACGAAAGATTTACAACTTAACTTTAAAAGAAGAAAAATCTGCTCTCATGCTAAAACAACAAGGAGTCTGGTGGCACCTTAAAGACTAACATATTTATTTGGGCATAAG